TTTATAAAGCCTGTTTGGTCAGGGTGAATAATGTCTTGCACTATGGTTTCCAGCCTTACAGAGAAAATCTTAGCCAAGATTTTCACGTCAACATTAAGGAGGGATATTGGACGATAAGACCCACAGTCGAGTGGGTTTTTATTGGGTTTCAAGATCAGTGAAATTAATGCTTGATGCATGGAAAAGGGTAAACTACCATTATTTAGGGATTCTTCAAAAACCGAAAGAAGCAATGGAGAAAGCTGAAGAAAAAACTTGAGAACTCTGCTGGGAAACCGTCTGGGCCTGAGGATTTTCCACTTTGCATCTGTGAAATAGCCTGCAAGATTTCAGTTAAACTTATAGGAACATCTAATTTGGCTTTTGACTCGTTGCTAATTTGAGGGATGTCGAGATTATCAAAAAAATTGTTTATAAGATTAGAATCTTTAAGGGAATTAGACTGGTATAGAGAAGAATAAAATAATTTAAACTGATTATTAATTTCTTGAGGGTCTGATACAATATTTCCAACTGGGGTTTGAATTTGAGCAATAAAACTCTTTGCAGTTTGAAGTCTAAGTTGCAGTGCAAGAACTTTGCCTGGTTTATCACCAAATTCATAGAAACGATGTCATGACTTGAGTAAAAGCTGCTCCGCTTGGTTAGTGGAGAGAAGATCATATTCAGACTGTAAAAAGGCCCTTTCATTATACAAAAATGGAGTTGGACGCTGTGCGTATTTCTGATCTATTTTGGCAATCTGTCCAGAAAGATCACAAAGCTTTTTATTGCGCAATTTTTTTTATATAAGCAGAACAAGAAATAAATTCTCCACGTAAATAAACTTTGAGTGTTTCCCAAAGAATAGACGCAGAGATCCCTTCGGTAGTGTTTGTCTCAAAAAATGTGGAAAGTTTTTCAGAAATAAACTCAACAAAATAGCCATCTGATAGAAGTAAGGCATTCATTCTCCAAACATGAGAGATCCTTCCATTTCCAGAGAGGGCCAATTCAAGGATTACTGGAGCGTGATCAGAAATAATTATACTATCATAAAAAGAGGATTTTACTTGGGGAATAAGTTTACTGTCAATGATAAAATAATCAATACGTGAATAAGTGTGATGAACAGGGGAAAAAAAAGAAAAAGTTTTAGAGGAGGGATTCAAAAACCGCCATACGTCAGCTATTCTGTATCCTTCCAAAAAGGAATTAATTGTTTTAGAAGACTGAGATAAAATAGCTGGTTTAAAAGATGACCTGTCTAGAACAGTATTCAAGACACAATTTAAATCTCCTCCCAAGATCAATTGGTAAGAGTTTAAGTCTGGGAGTTTAGAAAAAAGCTTAATAAAAAAGTCTGGGTTGTCCCAGTTGGGCGCATAAACACTAACTACAACCACTTGATTATCGTAAAGAGTGCCTGAGACTATCACATATCTGCCGTTGGGATCCGAGACAACTTCAGAAGGATTAAACTGAGTATTTTTATTGTTTAAAATAGCTGTGTCTCTAGCTTTACAATTAAGTCCCGAATGGAACACCTGTCCCACCCAGGATCTCATCAAACTTTTATGACAAGATTTCTTAAGGTGAGTTTCCTGCAGAAAACATATATTAGCCTTTAGCATTATCAGATTGGAACTTTATTATTTAACCCTTTTACATTCCAACTAACTAATTTAACCCTGCCCTGTCTCTCCTGAGGCAAGTTTCTATCCATTTCTATGGAGTATGGGCATACTGATGGTAGAAATAAGAAAAGATGGTTTCAGGCAGAGGGCAAGACAAAAAAGAGCGATCAAGTAATACATGGCTGATGGTGTACAAAATAAAATAAAAAAATAAACAACGCCTATTCTCCACGTGTGTCCGGAACTGACACAGGACTTAACATTGATAACACTAACAAGCCTGACTGACAAAAACAAGGCAGTCAGGTACAGAGAAAACAAGTTAACTAATTCTAACAACTTAGCTGCCCTTCCGGCAGTGCTCCGTGAACAGGAATACAATATAGAATTTGTTATCTCAGCAGTATACGATGCATAACATCAAATTTAAGTTTGGGCTTGGCTCTTATGAAGCGTGGACAAGTTCAAGAAACTTGAGAAATGTTCAACATCAAGTATGGGTTGCCTACTTTTTCATAGATCTAGTTTAAGGAACTTTTACAAAACAAAAAGATGGTAGCCCCTTTTCTGTATTTAGATCATATCTGTCAAACTTCGCTTGTTGCAGACTTAATGACAGAACTGAAGAAATCCGCCACAGCCTGTGGAGTTTGGAACATATGTCGCTGTCCCTGGAAATCGACGCGGAGTCTGGCCGGGTGAATTGTAAGGAATTACAATTCCGTAGGTAATGCCGGCGTTGCGAAGTGAAGCTTTTACATCCTTGAACTCAGCCCGGCGTCTCACCACCTCTGCGGACATGTCCGGAAAAATACGAACAACCGCACCATTAAACTCCAAATGTCCCCGCTCGCGACTCAATTTCAAAATGAGTTATTTTGTTTGATATCGGTGGAGTCGAACTAGCATATGCCTAGGGATTATGCATTGCGTTGGGATTTTTGTCTGACACGGTGGGCTCGATCGATTTCGGGGGGTCTCTCAAAAGCACCTTCTCCGAAGAGCTCAGTGAACATTGAGGACATAAAAGTCACCGGACTTTGGCCCTCCGAGCCCTCTGGTATCCCGATGACCCTTACGTTTTGTCTCCGCGAACGGTTCTCCAGGTCATCCAGCTTACGTTTGTGGTCAGTGTTCTCTGCCTGTAATGTGTGGCACAGCTTGGAAAAGTGCTGTTTCAATATCTCTGATATTTTGGGTTTGTAAAGACAGGGTCGTTTGTAGCGTGGACACTGCATAACGGAGTTCAGATAACAACTCGGATCGTAGTGAAGACATTTCTGAACGAATGGTGGACGAAATTAAATCCTTTAAGGAAGCTGCTGTTATCTCCTCCTCCACTTGGACTGGAGTGTTAGCTTTAGCATTAACTGCCTGTACGCTCCCCTTGTCAGTCAGCATTTCTACAATGTTTCGCCCTGACTTTCCTGATTTTGGCATTCTTCTTTAAAATTAAACGATCAGGTCGATTGCTAGATATATATATAACAAAAATAAATAAAACTACTGAGAAAAAACAAATTAATGTTCACGGAGCGACTTCCAACCACGTCTACTCGCCACGAGGCATACCGAAAGTCCGCAGACTCGGATCCTGAGCTCACTACTGCACATAGTCAGGTCCTGAGCTCACTACTGCGCATAGTCAGGTCCTGAGCTCACTACTGCGTAGACTCGGGTCCTGAGCTCACTACTGCACAGACACTGCTCCACTTCGCTCACTACTGCGCAGACTCGGGTCCCGAGCTCATTACTGCGGTCCTGAGCTCACTACTGCGCAGACGCAGCTCTACTTGGCTCACTACAGTGCAGACTCAGGTCCTGAGCTCACTACTGCGCAGACACAGCTCTACTTCGCTCACTACTGCGCAGACTCAGGTCCTGAGCTCACAACAGTGCAGACTCGGGTCCTGAGCTCACTACTGCGCAGAGTCAGGTCCTGAGCTCACTACTGCGTAGACTCAAGTCCTGAGCTCACTAATGCACAGACTCGGGTCCTGAGCTCACTACTGCACAGACACTGCTTCACTTTGCTCACTACTGCGCAGACTCGGGTCACGAGCTCATTACTGCACAGACGCAGCTCCACTACGCTCACTACTGCGCAGACTCGGGTCACGAGCTCATTATACTGCGCAGACTCGGGTCCTGAGCTCACTACTGCGCAGACTCGGGTCCTGAGCTCACTACTGTGCAGACTCGGGTCCTGAGCTGCATAGACGCAGCTCCACTACGCTCACTACTGCGTAGACGCAGCTCCACTACGCTCACTACTGTGCAGACTCGGATGCTGAGCTCACTACTGCACAGACTCAGGTCCTAAGCTCATTACTGCGCAGAGTCGGGTCCTGAGCTCACTACTGCGCAGAGTCGGGTCCTGAGCTTACTACTGCGCAGACTCGGGTCCTGAGCTCACAACAGCGCAGACTCGGGTCCTGAGCTCACTACAGCGCAGATTCGGGTCCTAAGCTCACTACAGAGCAGACTCGGGTCCTGAGCTCACTACTGTGCAGACTCGGATCCTGAGATCACTACTGCACAGACGCAGCTTCACTTCGCTCACTACTACACAGACTCGGGTCATGAGCTCACTACAGCGCAGACTCGGGTCCTAAGCTCACTACTGTGCAGAGTCAGGTCCTGAGCTCACTACTGCGCAGACTTGGGTCCTGAGCTCTCTGCTGCGCAGTCTCGGGTCCTGAGCTTACTACTGCGCAGACTCGGGTCCTGAGCTCACTGCCACTACTGCGCAGACTCGGGTTCTGAGCTCACAACAGCGCAGACTCGGGTCCTGAGCTCACAACAGCGCAGACTCGGGTCTTGAGCTCACTACTGCGCAGACTCGGGTCCTGAGCTTACTACTGCGCAGACTCGGGTCCTGGGCTCACTACACTGCAGACTCGGGTTCTGAGCTCACTACTGCGCAGACGCAGCTCTACTTCACTCACTACCGCGCAGACTCGGGTCCTGAGCTCACTACAGAGCAGACTCGGGTCCTGGGCTCACTACAGTGCAGACTCGGGTCCTGAGCTCACTACAGCGCAGACTCGGGTCCTGAGCTCATTACTGCGCAGACTCGGGTCCTGAGCTCACTATTGCGCAGGCTCGGGTCCTGAGCTCACTACAGCGCAGACTCGGGTCCTGAGCTCATTACTGCGCAGACTCGGGTCCTGAGCTCACTATTGCGCAGGCTCGGGTCCTGAGCTCACTACAGCGCAGACTCGGGTCCTGAGCTCATTACTGCGCAGGCGCAGCTCCGCTACGCTCACTACTGCGAAGACTTGGGTCCTGAGCTCAATACTGCGCAGACTAGGGTCCTGAGCTCACTACTGCGCAGGCTCGGGTCCTGAGCTCACTACTGCGCAGGTTCGGGTCCTGAGTTCACTACTGCACAGGCTCGGGTCCTGTTACCCTGTTACAGACACATAGTTTAATTAGAACTATGTGAAAGTTTTCACATATATGAGCAGCATTTTAATCCCTCTTTTCACTGGGATTGTTTCACATTTTGGATTTTTTTTTTATATATATATTTTTATATTTGTCATTCAGATGGATCAGGAACATCCTAATTTTGGAGGGTGACCACATGTCAATTAAAATATATATGTATTTTTACAAGAGAGATATTAAAAAAGGGCTTTGTCCAAAATAAAATATAGTTAAAGATAAAAAAGCCTGGAAGGATGTATCAAATTAAAATTTTTATGAAATTAATGACAGTAACAGGATTGATGTCATAGTCACAGGACTGACCAGTAACAGTAAAAATAGTAACAGTATTGACACTGCATGAAACATTGCTTAACAATGAGACTATATTTAGAACGATATGCAAATGTGATGTGGTTTTTATATCATTTTGCAAATTAAAAGTCCTGCTGAAAAGGAAAAATCATAGTGAGGCACAGGCCAAAAACCTTACCCTTATCAGCATAAATGCTATTTAAATTATATAAAATAATATTAAATGTACTTTTTCATGTAATATTGATGAAAGAATATATAGTATTATGTTTTTAAATTTCAAATTTATTCGTTGTTATATTAAATCTATGTTTGATTATTTCTTAGGGATGCAAAAGGCACCAATTTCGTGGAATGACCCATATGCATATTAAATATAATGTGATCATCAACACTACGCCACATATAAATGAAAACTGCCTAATGTTACCAAGTGAAATGTCGATCCAGGAAGTGGTAAAGGCCTGTGCAAGCTTTGGGAGTGCTGATGGAAGCCATCTACTGCATACTTGCTTTGATCATCGTACTGAATATGATACAGATGTAGTATTTAATAAAAATGCAATTTTCTCAGCTTTTTGCTCAGCTTTTTTTGCCTAACCCTAACCCTACATTCAAGTGTTGATAAAAAATAATGCTTGAAGCTAGAATAAAACTGATTAATTTGTTTAAAAGTAGAGGGTCTGTTCTTTATTTTGGTGTATTGCATGTTCAGATTCTGGGGGCCATGAAATGTTAGTGAAAATCATCAAAAATGCTGACGGTGGCTGGCAACTTTTTTTTCAAAAACGCTAGCGGTGAAAGAGTTAAACCCAGCCTTCTTCACCTTCGTGGCTTCTTGAACTTTGTCAGTCCACCACCAGACCTGTTTGTTGATAAATCGTCATCCTGGCTTAGTCACACCGAGGCACTCTCCCGCTGCATTGCTAATCAAAGTGCTTCGACTGGCTGGTCATCGTCGATGGTGACGATATAATTGTGGCAGCTAGTTTTGTTCTCTTAGACTATTCACTTGATCTTCTCAGGGCCAGTAAGTCGGGCACAGGGTCAAAAAGCCGAGGTTCAGCCCGAGGTCGAGGGCTAGTAGACGGTGTTGGGAGGCAATGGTCTGCGATGGATGGGATCACCTTGGAATCCAGGACGAACTTGAAGTCTTCCGTCGGATAAGCCAATAGTCAATCTGGGTTGAACGTCTACCACTGGTGTAGGTGGCAAGATGGGAGTCATGTTTCTTGAAAAACGTGTTGGCGATGACCAGATCGTGGGCCTCTGCGAGAATTTGGTAGCCCTCTTTATTTCGGGTCCCACAGCTTTGTCCACAGTGTACCAGCTCATACCTGTCTCGTGAGGCTCTGACATGGCCTTTGAGGTCGCCGCCAATCAAGAGATGCTTGTTGATGTTAATTGATCGAAGTTGATCAGCAAACTGATGCCAGAATTCCTTCTTCTTGGTGACGTCGGTACATAGCAGGAGACCACCCTCAGGATCACCGACCCAGTGTCAATCTTGTTTGACATGAAGAGATCCGAAATACGTCTGTCCCCAACTACCAGGGGCGTCGGACAGGGGGTAATAGTGGAACTGAATTCTCAAAGTCTGAGTCTGTGAGGATTTCCAGTCAGGATTTAGATCTTATCATAGTACTGCGTATGCGATACATATATGGCAATAGGCTGCATGACCTTTAAATCTTCAGCTTTAAGCTTTAAAAACTACTGTTTATTTAAATTTCCAACTTTTTCACTCGAACACCTTCAAACTCTAAACCCGGATAAGTTGAATTAACTTTAAAAGCTTGAGGAAACTGGTTGCCCTAAAAAAATTAAGTAATGTAATTTAAAAAAATTATGTTTGTTGAACTTTAAATGTTTTGTAATATCAATTAATTTGCAGTTATTACACCTAGTATATTTAAGTTTAATATACAAATTTCCAAGTTAAATCTATCAGTTGTTTTATTTTTCCAATTTAAGCTAGAAAATTAAGAAAAAAGCAAACAAATAAAGGAACATTCATGTAATTTTCTGTTTTAATTTAATTCAATTCAATTCCAAATGTTAATTTGAAAACATTACAACACATGAATTTTTTTATATCCTGAAAACATTTCCCCATTAAACATGAAGAAACTAGTTTAACATTAACTTATTGTTATGCACATAAATAGTCTATCTCAGAATCACAACAAACGGCATCAAAACTATGTTTTTTTTCCAGTCAGGATTTATACCGTATCATAGTACTGCGTATGCGATACATAGTATGCGATAGGCTGCATGATCTTTACATTTTCAGCTTTAAGCTTTAAAACTGCTGTTTATTTAAATTTCAAACTTCTTCACCCGAACACCTTCAAACTACCGGTACAAGCTTTTAATACTACTTCAAACAGGTCAGGCTTACTCGAGCAAACCACAAAGTTTGTTTACAAACTGCACTTGTCTAGGTTTGTTTTTTTCTTCTCTTAATCTATAAAAGAAAGACACAACCGAGTTCGGGGTTTTTAAGTTTTTGTTCAGTCAGTAGCCTCTTAATGAAGTCTATGTCCTCTGATATCCACAATGCAATAGTGTAAATGCAAACAACAGCAATTCTGCAAAAAGAAAAACATAATGGAAAACACTGATCTAAATGTTAAACGTGTAATTATTTAAAAGTTAATTTGCATTCAACAAAAAGTTATTTGTTTGGTGGCGTTGGGGTTATAAAACATGCTGTAACACAGCATTCTGTGCTGAGATATCTCCTATCATTCGCAGTGATCTTGGCAATGCTGTATATCATTGTCTCTCTTATCATACCATGGACTCACTTTTTCTTTTTTTATACACATGCAACTGGTGCCATCTTGCCTATGAGTTATTAATTGTAGTACAAATGACCTTTAGTTCATCCAAAAGTTAAATTTCTGTCATCATTTGCTCACCCCCATATCTAAAACTATATTGATTTCCTTTTTCTGTTTTAACAAAAAAGAAGATATTTTGAAGGATGTTGGTAACCAAACAGTTGATGGGCCCCATTGACTTGCATAGTAATTTTTTTTCCCACTCTGAAAGTCCATGGCTACCAGAAATAGTTTGGGCTTCAAAATATCTTTTTTTGTGTGTGTTCAACAAAAGAAATAAACTCATACAGGTTTGGAACAACTTAAAGGGTGAGTAAATTATGACATAACTTTTATTTCCGGGTGAACTACCACTTTGTTTGTATGTTGAAATGTCCAGCTGAATACATTAACCCTTACATATTGATACAAGAAGGATAGGCCTTTCATTTTGTTGATAATTTTGTTGACTATAAGGCTACACATTCTAATTTTAAATTGTCCAAGCAATGGTTACAACTTTTACAGCTTTATTTACGGTGCTCAAATATTTAGATTTTTTTCATAGCTGTTATTTTATACCTCTAACCTAATACAGCTCAAATAAATCTTTTAAGAGTCATAAAAAAAAAATAACACACACAAAATGCAGTTGAAACGAAAGTTGTTTCTTATCGATCCTAATCTACAAAAACAAAAAGTGTCATCAGTCAAAAAAAAACGACTGTGAGACGCTGCTTGGAGTAAAAATGAAACGGTCTCACGATCTCATGCATGTCTCCAGTCTGTCCTCTAGTGTAAATGTGACATGATGACAAACTGAAGGTCTTACATAAAAAACACAATATGAAAAAAATTATAATTGACTTTAACCAATCTTTTTTTTGTTTTTTGAACGTCCAACTTGAATCTTCACTGAAAGTTAGAGTTTGATGAAACCGGTTACATCAACACACACAGCTGTCAAAAAGGGCAACTGACTTTCAAAAGAAATCACTCCCTTTTAAACGAGAAGTCAGAAATAGCCCTCTAAACATGTTTGCTGTCATGTGATCTTAATATATGTGGTGTAAGAGAACTTCTATTCAACATTTTATATTTTGACAAATTGCATGTCATAGGATGTCAATTTCAAATGAATGTGAAGATATAATTTGTAGCTCAAAACTTTATCTGCAGCATTTATCGCACAGCTCTTTCATTTTTTTTTAGCATTTATTTCTATAATTATATATAATTTACCTTATTGACCTTGTTTGCAAGCACTTGTTATAAGAAGCATTAGAGCAGCAGAAGAGGGCAGCAGTTTGTAAGTGTTTTGTTTATTTTCTCATTAGATTTTAGCGAGGTTGTCTTTGCTAGGAAACATTGATTAGCTTATTGTTACCCTGATGTCACATGGACTATTTTACCAATGTCCTTTCTGGACCTGGGAATTCTGAAGATGAAAGAAGGTCTTAGGGGTTTGGAATGACACGAGGGTGAGTAATTAATGACAGAATTTTCATTTTTGGGTGAACTAACCTTTTAACTGCCTTGAGATACTGGCAGTTTTTCTTGCCCTAAAAACCTTCCTACCAGACCTGGTCCGGTTGGACAACATGCCGGTGGTAGCTGTTATAAATCACCAAAGTGGTGTCAGATCACACTCCCTTTAGAGGCTGGTGGGACACCTCCTTTTAAGGGCTCAGGTCTCACAGAGAGCAGCTCATGTACCAGGCAGACGGAAGCAAGGGTCGAAGATTCTATCCCTGGGGGAAAGTAGCTCCAGGAGAATGAAGTCTTCATCCCCAAGTGGTTCAGACGATTTGGTCCATCTTTGGGAAGGCAGAGGTAGACCTCTTTGCCTCAGAAGACAACTCTCACGGCCCAATATGTTTCTTGAGGGAACAAGATGCTCTGGCCCACGAATGGCCCAGCGCTCGCCTCTACGCCTTCCCTTTGATTGTCCTGCTTCCTCAGGTCATCAGACGGATTGGGGAAGTCAAGTGCTCGGTCCTCCTAGTGGCCCCACTCTGAAGGAATCAGATGTGGTTCCTTTAGCTAGTCCAGCTGCTGTCAGCAGCCCCACGGGGCCAATTCCGTTGAGGAAGGACCTTCTCTTTCAAGCGTGAGGTATGATTTGGCATCCCCGGCCTGAGCAGTGGAGTCTTCATATTTGGCCCCTCGACAGGAGTCTTTACAGCTCCCCGTTAGAGTGAATAACACAGTTTTGTAGGCTAGAACTCCATCTACAAGATGCTACTGTGCCGACTCCGGACTTATCTGCAGTCCTGAGGGCCTTGCAAGGCCCTGCCTTCGAGTCGCTCCAGTCAGCTGATGTGCGGCCCCTGTTGGTTATGACCATCCTCCTTGTAGCATTAGCGTCGGTCAAGCAAGAGGACGATTTACATGCACTGCCAGTCAGTGCTTCATGCCTTGAGTTTGGGCCTAAAGCCCTGCAGAGTCTTCCTCAAACCAAGACACGGCTATGTGCCTAAAGTTCACTCAACTCCGTTCAGAGCACAAGTCATCACCCTCTTATCTCTTCCTAATTCAGAGGTGGAGCAGGGTCCAAATCCCAGTTCAGGCCCTTTGAGTGTATGTGGAGCATTCTTGCCACTTCCAGCTTTGGAAGCCACTCTAAAGGGCTGCCAGCCACAAAGCAGAGACTATCTTGTTGGATAGTTGACACTAAAGTCCTGACTTACATTTCAGTGGGCTTACAGCGTCCTCTCGGAGTGAGGGCTCATTCCACCAGAGGAACAGCCACCTCCTGGGCTTGGTCCAGCGGAATTTCCATCAGCACTTTTGGAGGTGTTTCCCATCACATACAACACGGGACAGACAACAACAGGGGAGACTGTTCGAAAGGGAACGCTCCGGTTTCTAATGTAACCTTGGTTCCCTGACAAAAGGGAATGAGCTTTATTTAAGCTGCCGTGCTATAAGGCTGCACGCGAGTCATCGACTATCGCTATCAGTCAAAAGATTCTCACGAAATGGTGCTCAGAGCCTGGGGATAAGGAGCAATGTTTGCGTACAAGATGTGACAGGAGCGGCATGAACCTAAAACTGAACCTAAAGTATCGATCTCATCAGGCTAGTATCAATCTGATACTTTGTATAGATCAGGGGTGGGCAAACTTTTTGACTCGAGGGCCACATTAAGTTTTCCGCATCAAGCGAGGGGCCGCATAATATGTGTATGACAATTGAAGCTTTGATTTTTTTTATCACTTGTACATACATGGCAGTTCTATTCTTGTTCCATCTCTACCTTATTTGTTTTATGAACACTTTATGACACACAGATAAGTTGCATTGGTGTACAAGTTGATTGATATATAAGACACATTTTATAATTTCATTCAGAAAAGAAACAAAAATATAAGTAAAAAAACAAACACAAATTATAGTGGCATTGACTATAAACATTTATTATAAACGTCCATCCTAAATATTTAAAGCGAAACAGAAACTAGCAGCGTGGTTGCTGGAAATGCGCAGTACAATCTCACTTGCCTTTCTCATTTGTCACCAATCCAAATGTGCGCACTTTGCGCTTGACCTTGATTGCTTTATATAAGCCACCTTGGAAATCGCAGCACGTTTCAGATGATAAAAAACAAGATTTATAATCCAGAAAATACATTACTATATCCATTTTCATAAAAATGTCTGTGGAAAACAGAAGAAAGCATATCTTTGCAAGATAAAACAACAAATTATTTCCACGTTTTCCCCACGAAATTACAGTGCCCGTGAGCAGGAGGATAACACTGGCATTTGTTCTGATACTGGAAAGTCTACATAGCATTTTAAGCATTTTTAAACGGTACCAATACAAGGCATTCTTTTTTAAAACAAATGAACACTTTAACATTTTTAAAACAAGTACTTATTTACAATTGTGCCGGTTTTGTAGGGTGTATATTTTTACTTTTTATTTTGTATTTGAGCTGTGTGGCTTGGACGTGGCGTCCATCAAAAATAGACTAGGCGCCTATCTTTAGCAAAGCAGCGCAGAGAGCTGCTTCTGGGACGCTTCTGAAATGTGTCGTGGCGTGGCTGGTGCAAACACAAGCATTGACTACAGTGGCCGTGATCACCTCCAGTGGCAACATCGGAGCCGTGACGTACCGCAGATGCGTGCGGTGTAAATCCGGGGTTATATACCGCATTACAGGCTACAGCGCCATCTATTGGATTTTACTGATATCACATCAAATAAGTCATTTTGGACCAACTGCCAAACGGGCCAGATAAAAATGCCCGGCAGGCCGTAGATTGCCCACCTCTGGTATAGATACTATCAATATTAGGATCGATCCGCCCACCACTAGAAGAAGGGTTGCTAATGTAGACAAACTCATTCAATCTCAGCCATGTGTAATAGCTTTTTTTTTTTAATTGAAAAGCCCAAATAGCAATTGCTATACTTCATAGCTTTTAGATATTAAAACTAAAATTATAAAATTACTTTTTCCTGATTCAAATACAATCAACAGACAATAAAAGTTGTTGATAAAAAATAAAAATAAAATGTATTAATAAAAAAGGTAACATTTAATCAATAATTACTCAGAGCAAATACAAAAATTAGCTGGATCTCTCTCCTACTGACAAGTAGGGATGGCTATCAGTAAGGTTTTAATGGTGTTACTATTCTTACAAGCCTGCTTATTAAACATACTGAACATAATATGAAACTCTTAAATATGTAAAATTATATCATTTATATCACGAAGCAAAATGATATACAAGAATAAAACGTTTTGACATTGTTCTTTGTGGAGGAACTCCATCTTTGAGTTGATCTGAATCTCACAGTTGAATCTAATGGTTTTGAAGATGAAGATGAACTTTATTCACTGTGAAAACTTTAGATTGTTTTTTTTTTCATGCCGCTTGTTATGACAGATTTATCCAGATGATATTCTATTGCTTGATGCATTATTGTGTCAGATTTGGTGAGGACGCAGCATCAGATCTGAAAGTGCTGGATCTGAAGATGATCTACTTACTGTGATTGTTTTTTGTATGTCTGTGTAGAGAAGATGAATGATTGAAACACTTCCCACATGCAGTGCAGTGATACACGTAGGGTTGGGTCTCATTTGTTTTTTTTTTATACTGGTGCCAAATTGATACCTTTAAAACGGTATCGGTGCCTAAACTGTGCCTGAACCGATGCTTATAAAAAAATAATAAAATAAATTTAAAAAAAAAAAACTCTTTCCACACAAATGACATGAATGTGGTTTCTCCTTTGTATGAACTACCAGGTGTTTCTTCAGGTCTGAAGCACACAAAAATGTTTTCCCGCATTGATCACATGTGTACAGTTTCTCTCCAGTGTGGATGCCCATGTGTTTCTTAAGGTGTGCTGATTGTGTGAAACTCTTCCCACACTGATCACAAGTGAATGGTTTCTCTCCAGTATGAACTCTCATATGAACATCAAGATGAGGTTTGCATGTGAAACTCTTTCCACACTGAGTGCAGGTGAAAGATTTCTTGGCTCTTCTTTTCTTTAAATCTTTCTGTTTGGGTTTTTCTCCACTTATGACATGAATTTTCTCCTCAGATTCACTCAATTCTTCTTTCTCCTCATTATCTTCAATCAACTCTGAAACAAAAGTAAAAACAGTACATTTTCATTTAACTCCTTAAAAAAAGTGAAAAGACATGAGAAATTGAAAGGACATAAAAAAAAACTGATATAACAGCAGAAAGTAGACAATTGCATTACAAAATTTTGGTCATTTTGATGCAATTTTATATCTTATACGTCCCTGGATCTTTCCATGAATGGGAGAACTATTAAATATGTTTGATCAACAACATGAAGGATCTGAGGATCCTCAAATACAAACTGTGTGTTGCAGCAAGAGAGCGACCATACATTTGTGTTATGTTTTTATTAATTTATAATAATTTATAATCATTAGTCATTTATGTAATTTATTGTTTATTTTTTATCATTTACTACTTATATAAAAATTCAGCGGTGAACCCGTCCGGTTCTGGAGCCTTTCCTGTTGTCAAATTCTTGATCACTTCTAAAATGTCATCCTCCATTATGGGAGAATCCCAAAGCTCCCGCTGATTCTCACTGAGAGACGGAATATTAAGTCCACCGAGGAAGTTTTTTTATTTCTTTCTCAGAGGAGCTACTGCACGAAGTGTACAAATCCTTACATGGGGCATTAATGTCCATGACCTTGGTTACAAGGCCTCTCCCAGGGGTTTGAATAGCACATATTGAGGCAGAGGATTCCCTATGTTTAATGTATCCCGCCAACATGTTCCCTGCTTTATCTCCAGATTCAAAGGATTTTTGTCTAATTCTGAACATGTCAAATTCTAATTTTTGAGTAAGAATATTATTATATTGATACTTTAGCTGTACTTAAAGTCTAAGGTTATATTGGTTCATTCTCCGTTTTAAATTAATCGAATAAAAAACATGTAAGAACTACTACTCTATGTCTGATATTTCATGTTTGCATCACGGTGAGAGGCTGAAAGCAGCTGTTGTTTTTAAAGAACATTTATAGTTAATAATAGTCTACTAGTGTTATACCTTCAGTCATTTTGAACTTGAATTACTGTGACTTTTGACATTTTTTAAAAAGCATTTTCCTCGTATTATTTCTGAACACATAATATGTATAAGACACGTTTGCACAATATGTACTTGTAGTTTATGCATCTTTTCTGCAAAGATATTTAACAAGTGATTGGTTTAACATTTACATCATGTTGACAATTTCATGTGTGCTGCACTTGGAATAGAATTGTCTTTAACTAGAGGGTTAATAATGAAAAAGTAACTTGATTCATGTTGTAGTTACATTTTTAAGTTGACTAGTTAAAAATCGTAAGAAGTCGAGAATCGGTCAAACATTCTAGAAAAATCGAGATTTAAATTTTTCGCAAAATCGCCCTAAGCTGAGGCGTACTGTATAATATTGGGCTGCAACTAACGGTTATTTTGATAATCGATTAGTTGGCCAATTATTTTTTCCCCGATTAATCGGATTTTAACAATCGATTTTTTACAACAACAAAAAAACACTATTCCACATTCTGCCCAATATCCTTCAAACAAACGTGCCAATTGAATGCTATGAAAACAAAGTCAGTGCTTAACTATTTATTGGACCACCTGCCATAATAAAGAGAAAACACATTTTAGGAATCTGTTTAATCTGAATCTGAAAAATTGTTTAAATCAAAAAATGTTAGTAATTTATTGGGCAAATAAACTTAAACAACTAAATAGTATTTATTCGCATAACAAAAATGGCCTCCTATGCCCTTCATAACAGCTTGCAGTCTTGCTGACATTGTTTAAGTACTTTTTGACTGTAATTGCATCTGAAAAAAAAACACTATAAAGCTCTCTGCCTTTCTTTCATAGATAACAGCAATTATAGCATTAGAAACAGCCTACAACTGTTACTAAAGAGCTTACGCATATTGGAGGACTAACCCATACAGAAAGCTAAAAAATTATTTAGTTAGTTAGTTTAGAGCAGCAGTGGCACAAACCATAATTTGTTAAAAACCTTACATCAATTTGTTAAGCATTGTATATAGTGAATATATTTTAAATCTCTGCATTAAAAATTTAAATAATAATAAAGATAATAAAGACGAATAAAATCACAAACTCAGTTGTAACCAATAGGTAAGAGTAATATTCAATCACGCGCTGTTATCCCCTTACAGTTCCTACTCTCATAAAATAAAATAATTCTCATGTTTTGGGCAGCTTGGATCACGTAACTCTCCCGCAGCATCTCATTCTGTCTCCTCCACTATTTTTAGATGCATTTTGTCCATAGAAATGCGTAATTCAGTGCATGAAGTTGGACTTGCACTGTGGGCAGACCTGACTAATCGTTAATGAGAATCGTTGTCGATGATTTTCTTAACCGATAATAATCGATTTTATCGATTAGTTGTTGCAGCCCTAGTATAATAACCCCTCTAACATATGCTTTTAGCGCTTCCCATGCCACCCCTGATGATGGAGCTGAATTTACATTAGTAGATAAATACAAATCAATTTGGTCTTGGAGTAAAGGTTTAAATGCAGGGAGATGTAACAAAGTGGAATTGAACCTCCATCTATATTTTTTTTTTTTTAAGTGTCCAATGGTATAAGATCCAGATATACTGGTGCATGGTCTGAAATCAATATGAACACAATCACCCCCCAAACAAAAAACATTAAGAACACAAAAAAAATGAATGATGTACGATATATTTTGTTTTCTTTGCATACAAAAAATATTCTCGTAGCTTCAAAAAATTACGGTTGAACCCCTGATGTCACGTGGATTATTTTACCGATCTCCTTGCTATGTTTCTGCACATTGATCGTGGTAATAGCATTGCTGTCTATGAAGAGTCAGAGAGCTCTCAGAATTCATCAGAAATGTCTTAATTTGTGTTCCGAAGATTAACGGAGGTCTTACGGGTTTGGAACGACACGAGGGTGAGTAATTAATGACAGAATTGTCATTTTTGGGTGAACTAACCCTTTAAGTATGAGACTTAAGGCGTGATTTCCCCTTACCTATGGGAATAATTTAAGGGTGTTGCATATAATCCCTTAAACACTGCCCTTAGCAAAGGGAAACCGTTCAGTGTTTCACAATAAGGCAGATAGCGGTGTAAGTGTTCACAGAAAACAATATAACATGGATAAGGAAAACAAAAAAGAAAACCAAATATGAAAGAGAAGGACCAGACGAGACGGAAACTCAAACTGAAAATTCTGAAAAATCACTTACTCACCCTCGTGTCAGTTCAAACCCATACGACTTTTATTCATCTTTGGACAACAAATAAAGATCTCTCATCATTTCTGTCCATGTAGAGATTTTCAGGGACTGGTGTGAATAAATCTATATTTAAATGCAAAGAGACAAGATAGTCTATGCATGACGTTTTATTCGTATCCAAAACGAGGCGATGTGAACATTAAAGGTGGGGTAAGCAATTTTTCAAAAACTGTCTACTCATGATGTGGAGGAGAGAGCGTTCAGTGCACAGGACGGACATTAGCGAGCCAAGTGACAGAAAGATAGAGATGGCAGATAAAAAGCTAAAGAGGAAAACGTCTGCGGAACAAAAGAAGGCTTAAGGCTTAAGGCAAGAAGTAGGACCCGTGTAAATATCGGATCAGCTTTCGGAGCGGAAGGCCTGCGATCGGACGCCGAGGTTGCTTTGTTTCTTCTCGATAGGTGAGTAACACTGTGTCTGCGCCGCAACTAAAGTCTGTCTAGTACACTGGACGCGACAAAGCGACCGTTGAAAATCATTTGAAATTAGTGTCAATACGTCATGAATAGAACACAGCAGCAGTTTTCTGTCGGGGATTTGTCATGTCGTGCCGCATCCAGTGTAGACCATAGATATGTATATATATATATATATATATATGGTGTAGACAGCATCACTGATTATAATGAGTTCTATAGTATTTTGTCGCGACGCGCCACTCTCGTCCGGTGTAGACACGGTGTAACATTGGTTTTGCTTTGTTTCACAGAACTAAACGTTGCCTGGGTTGCATACGTATATGTGGGGCGGAGCTATCAAAATAGGGGCGAGACCCTTTTGGGGTAGGGGTGTGTTTATTTTGGTGATTTGAAATATCAACATTTTGGCTACCAGAAATCGCTTACCCCACCTTTAAAGCGCTAAACTCTCATGCAGTGTATGTTTCATTCATACTGGAAGCCAGAGGGCGCTCTTGCACCTAAAGTCCAAAACGGATTAATTGAAGTAGCCTATCTTCTAAGCTGTATAAAAAGCAGAAACGTAAACACAAACTCAAACTCTGCTGAATGTGTTTTTCAAGTCATCTCCAGGTACAAAATACAGGAATAAGATATTATAGAATATAAATTTGCTCTCGAGTGTGATGCACTCACGTTTGAGCTAAATGTGTGCTGTATAATTTGATCAATGTTTATATGTGAATAAATTAAAATCTGTTTAACATATAAAGCGGCCGATCATGTCTCTAAGACTTTTGACCCTGCCTCTTCTCTCTGGATCCCTGCAGGATGAGGCCCCTCGTCCCGGAGCGCATGAATCTCGCAATAACAGCTCGGGGAGAAACAAGAAACTCTGATTAAAGAATTAATAATAAAATGTAACACTCGCGATGTCCTCGGCAGCTTGCGGGGATTTGTCAGCGTCAGTTGGAGGAGCTGCTGCACTGTCATTGCCGCCTCTCAGAGCCTTTTTTATGCTCGATTGGACTGTTTTCTGCCTACAAGCCATATTTCTGTAGCAAAAGCTCTTCTCTACTTCTTCGAGATCAAAAGTTGTTGAGTTAGCCACTTAAAATTATTAAGGATAAATACACTGTGCTGCTGCAAGCAGTGTTAAACTACGCTGCTATCCACCTCGACCTCGTCACGTGACCCATAACCGACAGCATTATTAATGAATTAATGAAGAATAAACACCAACCTGTTTGTTCTTCAATATCTTCAGTGTGCTTGATTCTGCAGGGCTCTGGATCTCTCATCTTCTCTCTGTCCTCTTTAATAAACTCAGTCTTTACAGATTTCAGATCTTCCTGATGATTAGATGCTGGTCTTCACTTGTGAACTGATGGAGATTTTCCAGCATTTATTGCTGAATTACTGAATGTGTGATTTTTGTGGGAGGAGCTTCACTGATGATGATGATGCAATATTTGTTGGCACAAGGTCCCTCAGTCCTTATTGGGGACTTTAATAGATGCCATTCTTAAATTTAAACTCTTTAAATTCAAATGCTACACTGGAGCAATGATGCTGAAAATGTTTCCAAAAGTTAGTATTTCCAGGAGTAAAGGACACACAGGTGTTTTCAATCTGTTTGATGGGAAACAGTCATGTTTACAAGACACTGGTTTGACAAAGCAAGTGCTTTTGAGGTTGAAAAGAAAAAAGTCACAGACAATAAATGCAAAGTTAATCACACACATTTTAAAGTTTGCTTTATTAAAAAAAATCAGGTTTAATGTTACACAAATCAATTGTTTTATTTAGGCGACTGCTGTATTATGTACCCTAAATAATGCATGACTTGTCATAATACTACCAACTGGGAAGCAGGATTTTCTAAGCTGCACTTGATGCACTTTATCATGTAATCTTAAAGGTACAATATGTAAGTTTTCGCCACTAGAGGTCGCATTTTCAAAACAATAACAAAGGCGAAGTTTGATGACGCTATTAAGGAGGATGTTCACGGATGAGGTAATTAATACATTTTTTGATTACCTGTACCTTCCGTAGTTATTCAAACAGTGAATAAATTATACAGAGAATGCAAGCAAAGAACATGTACACTGTCAAAGAACATTATGACTGACTTAAGTTTAGCTTGAGTTTAAGCACTCTCAAAAAAACTCCCCTTATAATCAGTAAAGCTATCTATACACAGTTTTATGAATTAATCTCTTACACCATACGTACATCTACACTTTGTTGTTTGATGAGAGAATTCGCGTGAGAGCTGGGCTGCGTTCAGCCCCCAAAAATGGTGCAAAACGTTTTGTTAAACGGAAACGGTGGTGTGTTGAACACTGTTCTGATGACGCGAGAGTTGCAACTATGGCAGCTGAGAAGGACATTCTTTGTGTTCTTCTTGAAGAATTGTCGGAGCCTGATGAAATCGGTATAAATACGTGTTTAATACTGCAAAATACCCTCGATGTTACAGTCACTGCCCTTGCCGTCCAGAATAAAAGAGAACATCCCAATAGAGTGAAGGGATTTGTGGAAACTGTGGTTCCTAATTATTGTGATCCAACATTTGCCTCGCATTTCAGGATGAAAAGACAAACATTTCAGGTGAAGGAT